TAAAGAACAGGTAGGGAATACCATTAATAACAGTGCTCGTAATATTTTCTTAATGTCTTTTTTAAACTTATTTTTGAGAAAGAGAGTGTGTGCAAGCAGGGGAGGGGCAGAGAGAGGGGGGACAGGGAGAGAGGGGGACAGAGGATCTGAAGCAGGCTCCGTGCTGACAGCAGCGAGCCCGATGCGGGCCCCGAACTCACACATGGTGAGATCGTGACCTGAGCCAAAGTCAGAGGCTTCACCAACTGAGCCGCCCAGGCGCCCCTGCTCGGTCCGAGTTTTAAGTTATTTAAGGGTCTGCAGTTGCAATGCCATTGCATTAGGTGGCACTGCCTTTGCTCTTAACCCGTGAAGATCTGCCCAGATATGCAGCATGACCCGGGCTCTGTTCTAGGAATCACGGAGGGGAGAAAGCATGAAGGCAAGCACTTCCTGGGCATTCACGATGTTTATTCCAGGCAAATGCTCCTCGCACCTTCACGCCAACCCTGTGTGGTTGACGTTGCCATATCCCCATTTTACAGATAAGGAAGCGGGGGGCTCTGCAAGGTTACGTAACTTTCCCAAGCTTACACTCCGAGTAAGGAGCAAAGCCAGGATTCTAGCCCAGGCACTACTCCCTGGAGCCCACACTCGAATCCTCCTCCCTGACCCATGACGTTAGACCCCTGGGGTCCCCACCGAGACAGGAAACAGACGTCTTGAAGAGATTTCACTTAACTCTAAGATTCTGGCACCAGAAGGAGAGGTCACCCATAGAGGGGACCATTTAAGTTTCTCCCCTCACAACTTCCCCCCTACTCCACCCCAGAGAAACTTAAGGCCAGGATTAGCAACTGCTGCCTTGGCTAATAAATCAGAAGTAACTGAAGCATCCCGACGCTACAAATCCCTAAGAAAGGGGGACTCAGTGTCGCAGGTATAGCACCAGCAAGGGAATGCGTTCAAAGTCCCAGCCCCAGGCCATTCCCCTGTCTCCCAGGAGGGCAAAGCTAGGGCATGGGAACAGGAAGATGAAGAAAGTCAGACCCTCCTAGAAAGGCCCCTGCTCTGCCAGCCTGGCAGAAGTGGGCTCAGGGCTGGCCAAGCTTCCTTGGTATGCTGGAGGCATCTGCCCTGGAAACCAGAGGCCCCAGGGCCAGGTCCCACTGTTCCCAGGGGAGCCCTCGCCACTGCAAGGAACTCTCCAACGCCCTTGTCCTCCAAGCCAGACTGTGAGCCCCACGGCCCCTCCCTGGGCTTGGAGCAGGGCCTTCCTCCACCCCAGGTTAGTCACAATCCAGACAAACCCTAGACACAGGAGCCCAGAGTCTGTAACCTCTGTTGGAAGGCAGGGGAGCGGATGAACTCCCAGCAGGAAGCTCAGATGTCAATGTCAGCCACCGTCAGATTAGGGCACAGATAAGGGCACACGGTGGAAGTGAAAAATGCGTCTACATCAGACAACTGTAATCCAGAGCTCAGAGCTCAAGCCACAGAATCACACCCGTCTGGATTATCACGTAGCAGGTGTGTGGACCGGGAATCACTAGCTTTTTCTGGGCCTCAGTGTCCCTACCCATAAAGTGGGCATAGCCATACTAGTGACTGTAAGAATCCAAGCATTGAGTCAATGCCAGGCGTAGAATAACGACCTCATGCTTGGGACACGGGCTCTGGCATGAGCCCCATTGGCGGCCAGGTTTCTTAACCTCTCTGGGCCTCTGTTTTCTCCCCCAAAGAATGGGGACAATTGTAACAAGGCTGTTGTCAGGACTAATTGGTTAACACAGTGCCTGGCATAAAGTAAGCCCTCAATAAATAACGATACCCGTATCATGAAATGTCTTGTTTGCTTTTTGTCTCAGCTGAGCACCTCAGAACAGATCTCACGGACTCTGAGAGTGAGGTAGACACTCTCCCTGACTGCGGTGTCCGGACCTCTGCCAGGCAGGCCTCTGCCCACGTGGCCCCTTCTTCCCTCCTCTCCTCGCCCAGCCTGAGAACTTTCTGCCGCGGAGCCGCCGCAGTGGCTTGCCTGCTGCCCTCTAGTGGCCACATCCTGTAGTGCAGCCCCTTAGCGCCGCGTCCTTGCTGTGTGTGTTCAGAACTCCTGGCCGGCTGATGCAGCTTTATGGGAGGATTCAGCCCGCGGGAGGTGATGTTGCAGGGTGCAGCGAGGTGCGATGATGACACCCCCACCTGAGCTGTGGCCTCTGCTCTGTGCATCCTCTCTTCCTCACCCTCACCCCGAGACAAGCAGCAACAAGCGGCCTCACCTCATCCAGAGGGCCTCTCCTCATGCCTCTCTGGCAGGGGAAGGAACGCTGAACTTAATATCACAGGCGGGAACGGCCTCTGCTTTCCCTGGTTGGGAGACCTTGGACTTATCCCCTGGCCTCTCTGTGCCTCGATTCTTCCACAGATCCAGCGACTCTAAGGGCCTCCCAGCTCTGATCCTAGGAAGGCCTGGCGCTCCATTTTCAGAGTCAGGGCCACCCTGGCTGCAGGCAGAGGGATGCTCCTTTGGGAGCCGGAAAGCCCCAGTCATCTTCCAAGAGGATATCAGGGCTGGCAGCTGGGCCCCATCCCCCTCAGCTTGGTCCACGGCAGCCCCAGCGGGGGCTAAGAGCCAAGGGGCTCTGCCCTCTGGTGAGTTCGCCCCCGGCCTCCTGCTCTGTGAAATCCCATGCAACCCAGAGCTGTGGCATTTGCCTCTTCTGGGCCACAGGCCCCTTGGAGAGACACAGTCCCTCTTTCCAGAAAGATTCCTTCGTATCCACAATTTTACACACACAAGCAGAAGGCTCCAGGACCCCC